CCTCCGCCGCCGCGGCGGGCGGCGTCCCTGGCCTATCCACCGCCTATCCTTCGTAGGAACCCGGGCGGTCCTGCAGCCCGGGAAGGGTGGCTGCTCAGAGGCTGGACCCGGGGAATGGGGCAGGAGACGCGATTACCGGTCACCGCCATCAGGGCAAACGGGCCCAGGCTGACGTGAAGGGTGGCGGGCAGCCAGCCCTTCCCCGTGAGGGGTCGGCGTCAGAGCGGCTTCACTGCTGGATCCGTGGGTGAATCCACTGCGTGCTCCAGGCTCAGGAACGGCCTAATCCCTTCCTCATCCGTGCCCTTAATGATCGAGAAGTTTAATGATTTCTGAAGGAGAAATATCGGGCTTTGTAGGTGCCTCAGAGGATGTAGCTTCTGAGGGAGAAGGAGAGGGATGGCAGATCAAGAGATAAGAAAATTTCACTTCATTGGTAAGCTTTGAGCAGTCTGTTAATCTAAGATCTTATTGCTAAAATGTGGAGAGCGGGGTATAGGCTCTCTGTGGTATGGTACATAAGATCACGCTTTCCACAGGGTGGACTGACAGAGGCTGTGCCTCGGTCCTCCAGCTCAAAAGGGGCTCCAAAACAGCGCAGAGGATCTCCTTCACATACCCTGCATAGTCACTCTGAACATTTGCAAGCCCAAGAGCTACTCTATGCAGACCCATCCTTTGTCACATACCGCTTGTGAGCCTGCCTTCAGTTGTGTAAGTGATGCAGTTGCTCTGCATTACACGCAGCGATTCAGATGCCTCTGACTCCCTGGGCATGCAGGCGTTCAAACCCAGGGCCACGTGTTTCTCATGAAGGCTGTGAACACGCAGAGCGACACAGTCCCACGCCACATCTATTCCTGAGATTGAAAACATTTCAAGGTTAAACTGTCTTAAACAAGAGGTAGGTCTGTGGCAGAGCATTTAATCTTATCAGCTGAAAATAGATTCAAAGGGTGTCAAAACTGGCCTAGTCTGCCTAACCAAAAGTATGCTGAGAGTCTCAGGCATAATGCAAGTGATTATTATTCTATATGTACCTGTAGAATCATGGGGTTTAGGGCTACTGGAGATCAATCAGTCATTTCATCTGTTTTCCTGTATACTTCAAACGTTTTCATTTCACCTGTTCTGTTTGGTTGGTTTGTTTGGTTTTTTTTTTCTTTTTTTCCCCTGAATTGAGCCCAGTATCTAGCTTTTGACCACAGCCTATCTTCCAGAAAGGCACTCAATCTTGATCTGACACCGTCAAATTCACTGTTTCCCTGCATAGTTTGTTCCCATGGTTAACCCCCTCATTTAAAGCTTGCATCTTATTTAAATTTATCAAGCTCCAGTGCCTTTAAGTTAATGATACATTTTTCTCTTGTAGATAAAGAACTACATAATAGTTGATACTATTTGATAGTGGCTGTACACCTCAGATCACCTCTCAAGGGCGTTCTGCATGTTTTCAGGATACATTGTTATATGAGTGCTTTTTAGTTGTGTATGTATCTATTAGAAAGACAAGATGACAGTATGTGGTAGTCACGCATGTATCCATTTCTCCGTGGATCCATTTTATAGACCCAGTGCAACTACAGGCAGTCATGCACAATTAGTCTCATATTCCAACTCAGATTCTCTGCATCTTGAAATGCAGAGAATGAAAAAAAAACTTACATGAAAAAAAACCTCTCCTTTTTCATAGCTTTACAAACAGATTTTGATGCCTAACAATAATTTCCATTTACCTTTGAAGCTGAAAACTTAAAATGTTTGTATCCTATATAGGAGTTTCTGTTTCAGAAAAAAACATCTTTTTTGAGCTAGCCAAAACGTTGAACTAATTTCCACTCTTAAGAACACAGTGACACCTAAAGGCTAAGTATATCCGTCCTGTCTGGCTGTATTCCAGTGAATTCTGCAACTGCAAGTCACACAGGTACACTTAAACTACCTTTCAAGTGCTGACTTAAATGCTGCTAGCAGAATAGCTGTGGCAGTACCAAGCTAAGCATGGGCTGCAAATTCTGCTTGAGAACTCGGGTAAATATTCAAATAGTTAAGCCATGTGGAGCTCTCTAACTTTGTAACTATGCTGCTAAATATTTCATTTGAAGTGGCTCAGTATGCCGTACACATACTCTGGTTATTTTATGTCAACCTCCTTTGCCTGTTATTTGAGGCTTTATCGTATTCATCCTTGTTCTCGGTCTTCTTTTTGTCTTAACAAAGGCTTATGCAATTATGGCAAATGTGTAAGTATATGTCTGCCCTTACTGCCTTATAATTTAGAACTTATTAGCCCATTTCAGATAGTTTTGGTAGAGATACAAACTTTCTGTGAATAAATAGTTAGCTAGAGAAAAGAGAGCCAGTAATGGTCTCTAGACATGTCCTGAATGAAAGAAAGACTGTAATGTGAGCTCAGCTGTTTTTAATACAGCACAGAGCTGTAGGCACTAGGCACAGCCCTTTACAAACACACCCAGTTAATAAATCTGGAAAACGTTTTGGTTTGAGCTTAACATTTATAAAACACCAGTCAGTGAAAAAACAGACTTCATTAGTTCCATCCATCCCAAGATGTCATGATTTTTAAAGAGATTTCTAATTACTGTAAAGTCAGCATTAAAGGGGAAATAGTCTCAAGAAATGCTTTCCTATTACACAAAATGTTTTGCAGGACATTTGTTTGCCAATAAATCCACAATGTCTATCCCTTCTTTCCCATGTCATACATTGATTGCTTTAATAATTTCAGAATTTCATTGCACTTTGGTACAAAGACTTGAATAATTACACTGACCTTCGTACCATTAAACTGAATGGATTCAGCTGGTCAGTATCCATTTGTGGGAACTACAAAAAGGGAATTGTTCCTCTCCCTTTGTTATTTCTGTCAGATTTGTTACTCACCCCACCAGTTATTGCTTTCTTCTGTCCTTATGGTCATCCTAACCACTACGGGAAGCAAAAACAGCTAAGGAGAAAACAGAATTGGTGGCTCCTCCATATGTACACTCAATTGTGTTTCTCTACTTGACATCTAACATTCATTATCCACTAACAGAGAGCACAGGTTTATCAGCAATGCCTTCTGACATGTCAGAGTATGAGGTGTGCTGCTTTCAAGATTAAGAAACACAAAGTTAGGATAATATCACTATCATAAAACCCTAAACTTCCAGAAATTTGGGATGGATCTGCCTCAATGACCAGAAAGTGTTTACACCAGGTTTACATTAAAATGTAGAATACAATACTTAAACTTTAAAATAAACTCTAAGAGAGTAGATGAGGTAAAATAAAGGTGAATAAAGGTTTTACAAACAAGATCTCCTTTACCACCTGCATGCTGGCAAAGTAATGTCCGACAGTTGGGTGGCCTTGTGAGTTGCAATAAACTCTGTATAATTCCTTCTAGTTCATAGGAGTTTTCTTCATTTAATATCTGAAGTCCTTCTGCTCTTTCTCTTAGCTTTCGTTCTCTTTAACTACAGTCTTCCACTCATTTCTTGCTGCCAACTATTTTTATTTTCTGAGTATGCACAGTTACTCGCCAAGAAAGCAGCATGCTTCTACTCTCCCCCAGGTGTCCTATCTTACTCAGGTACTGCTTTTTAAAAAGAATAATAGTGTACAGACTGAAAATATCAAAAAACCCCCAAACTGATATGGTCTATCACAGGCAACCATACCCCATTTTTAAACCTATTTATGCCTCTTTGAGCTGGCCACAAGTGCATAGCAAAAAGAAGCAAAAGACTTAATGTCAGTAATAACAACCAAAATCAGTAACTGCTAGAGTAAGAGGAAAAAACACAAACAGAAAACTGATCAGTATTTTATGTAAAATACTAATTTTTGAAGTGCGGGGCCTTTGCATTTCTAGGAAAAAAAAAAAAGAAAGAAGCTAAGAAGCATGAGATATAATTGCAGGAAAAGCAAAGTGAAATTTAATGAGTTACAATTAGTTACACAGGGGGAACTTAGATGCTGAGATGCCCAGCATTGTGACACCCAGCCTTCAAGTACCTGGCTCCAGGAAGGGAATTCGTAGTGCCCAGTTCAGTTACTGAATTTGGTAAGTAGTGCATGGGATAGACAGTGGGGAGTTAAATAAGATATATTCATGATTCCCAGAACAGATACAGATTCATGACTCTTTGGAGAACGTTGAAAATGTAGAAGCATAAAGATCCCCTTATCTTTCAGTCTTGCTTAGTAGAATGTCAGTGTCTGGTGGGGACTGTGCAATACCTTCTAGATGTGTTAAAAATTTGGGTGCATCCTTACCTACAAGAGATAAGGTCTGTGATTCACTTACAGGTAGCTACAGGTCTCCTCAATTGGCAGCATGCACCCTGTCAACTACTTGCAGCAAACCTTTGGATTGGTCCCACTAAGTCTACAAGAAAGAGAGTCAATAGGAGAATATGATGGGAATCCAGCACAGGAAAAGATAGATTTCATTAGAGAGACTGGAAACAAAACTGATTTTTCATACTCTCATGCCTTATCTGTCATTCATGCTATTTAGTGTTACCTGGAAGCATTTAAAGTTTGTGAGATGAACAGCATATTATGAAATAACAGAAAGTCTGGTAGCACATTGTAAATTACTTTAGGTACTGCACTTATGCACCTTTCAAATTATGAAAATGAACTGCGTTTCAAACATGCCTATCAAGCAGTCCTATGAGATGAAAAAATCACTTGAGTGAAAGCTGAAAGATTCAGATGTGTTTTGGTGACACTAAAAAAGTGGGATGAGATAGTGCTTTTTCCTGCTCTTTAATCTGTAAGTGTGTGGGTTCAAATGTGGTAATAAGTACCAATTTCCTTTCTGAAGTCCTTGTTAGAATTTAAATCTGGGTGATTTAGTGCACAGAGAAAGTATACATCTTCTTAGCACATGCTAGAGAGACCATACATCCAGTTCATTGACAAGACTTCTGTTCAGAAGAAAAACATTTCGATTTTTGTTTTGAGCGCTAAAGAATGTCTGTGAAGATATTCATTACACAAGCGGGAATGAAGAGGAGGATAGATAGGAGAAAATAAGGTAGTCTTCCAGTTCAGCTTCTGGGAGGTCACACCAAGTTGTAACCAATGCAGAAAACAAGTCTCAGAAAGTCTTCTGTTGGGAAGCGCACTGCCAGGAGACGCTAGGCTTGCTACTACATCACAACATAACATGTCTGTTTTTATCAAGTCTCTTGCTATAGTATTAAGTCCCTGCAAGCAGCCCATGAAATAACAGGGTTACATCAAAGCTTCCGCTGCAGTAAAAAAAAGTAGTAGCACAGCCATGTTGTATGTAAAAACATGAACTGTAGAAGGTGAAGACAGAAGATAATAAAAATAATTTTAAAGCCTGTTAACGGCCATCTGAGCTATGACTCCTTCTTTCTGCACACCTGGGGGTTAGCAATATTGCTTGCTGACTCCCTGCAGCCTCGTCTGTAACTACCATTTTGTCTCCAGGCCAGTGCGTGTATTTTAGCCCGGACTCCTTGCTTACCTGCGCTACTTGCTACAGCTTGGAACAAACCAAGAAGCTCTCCAAGCGAATTTACGCTTAGACCGCGACTAGCATTTGCTTTCCTCGGGTATTGATGAGCACCAACGCAACCCGCACTCGGAGACAGCCCAGCCGGCGTCTGTCCCCCTGGTGCTCGGCCGGGCGAC